CATTTGTAATCATCAAAATTAAACGAAATAAACATTTGAAATATATGAGTTTGTATGTAATGCATGAATATAATATACAAGTTTCACTTTTTAAATGGAATTACTGAAATAAATATACTTTTTCATGATATTCTAATTTTATGACCAGCACCTGTAGGTGAACACCCAGATATCTTATTATATTCTTGGGAACAATTAAACAAATAAAATCATTATTTTATGAAAATAGAAAACTGAAAACCTGACTTTAACCTGAACTTTATCTGAGCTCAGAAATGAAACTTTCATTATCCTTATTTTGTTTTCTGTTTCCACACTGAACAGCAGTAGTTAGTCTTGACTGCATCATACTGGTGATACTTTTATTTTGAAATATCCTCTGCATCATGTAACCTCATACAGCTGAGAAACACAGAACAAGTTCATAAACCTGAGGAACCAGAGATTATTCTACAAACTGAACGAACTATAAGCTGAGAAAAAGTTATAAACTTTTTGTGGCGCCCCCTTGTTGGACGGCGCTCTTAGTGTTTGCCTACACTGCCTACACCACGGGTCCTGTTTCTGCACAAGATATTTTGCTAACAGGTGAACTAAACAACAGGAACTTGAACATAATCTGATCTAATTTCAGGCTTTGTTTTTGTTGAACCGATGACCTCATGAGTCTTTGTCCCTTCGTCCCACACAGTTCAGATGTTTTCCAACATCTGGCTGTAAACAAACAAGAAAAACGTCCAGTGAAGCCAGACAAAAAAGTGCTTGTGCAGCAGTTTCTGTGACGGTAAATCTTAATTCACAGTAACTCTGCCGCCTGACACCAACGCAGAGAACCAAAATAGCATAAAACTAATATCCGGCTTTTCTTCTTGGCCTACATTAGAGTGAAATCGATGTCTGCACAGATTCTTATCTCATTCAAACCGGTGCTCTGGATGGCCTCAGATTTCACAGTTTGTTCAGAATAAAATGGGTCAGTTCATGATGTGGCTCTGAGGATTGTCTTAGGATCTCCTGGCTCAGATCTTATTAGTTTTTAAATGTTTTGGTTTGAAATCCTTTCTGAGAAGGTTTATCTTCGATACGTTGGAGGATTTAATTCAGTGCAAATGTTGCCTCAGTCTGAGTTACACATTAAAGAACGATAAGAAAAGCAGATATGTTGTTTGTAATTCAGTGTGAGAGACTGACATTTCACTTTGACTGATTGTGATACCGTGACATTTAAGAAAAGCAGGTTAAGCTCCCACCTACAAAGTCATTTGAATCCAACAGAAGCCCACCTCTTACAAAACTCAAAATTTGCTGTTTTTAACAAATTATTACCTCTTGAGATAAACAGCATTATTTGTGAAATACATAATAAATGGACCAGTTTAAAAGACTGTCAGTGAATGTGAGAAATAAAAACGTCTGAACAGCAGCAGGACTGTGACTCATCCTGCCTCAGACGCTCTGCTGGAAATGACTGAAAAACCCCAATAAATGATTGTAGTAGGTGGCAGATCAGGGTCTTTTTCAAATGTGACAAAAAAAGTGTGTGATGTCAGGACAGGTGTTAAACATTTCTGTTATAAAGGGCTTTGTTGCATTTAATGCTTTATAAAGCATGATTATTATTCCTCACTGCTAGAGGTGAAGGTACAACGTGTCTGTTTCAGAAAGTTTTTTTTTATTTATGTCATTTTTATTTAACAAGCTGAGTCGACTGAGAACAAGTTCTCATTTTCAACAACGACTTGTTCAGAAAACATTAAAATATCAGATTTTTGTAACAGGAAACCTCATAAAACAAAGAAAAACAATAAACATAAGAACACAACCATAGCAAAAGTAATCCCTGGGATAACATCAGATTTCCAACACTTTTATAGACTTTAACTCCAATCAAAGAAGTCTCTGCTGAACTAACAGAGCAGGGAGGTTTCTAGATTAGGTTTGATAAACTTGTTGGATTATTCCCAGGATTTTGGGTTAAAACATGTTCTCCCCAGTTTCCTCCCAGGAATAAAAACATCAGGTTAGTTGGTGACCTATGAGCGTGCATTTATCTCCCAAACTTCCTGCTGCCAAAAGATGAATTATTTTTCTTCCGTTTAGTAAAAGTAGGTGAACCAAACACAATGACTGAACATATTTAACTCAAAACAATTTCAGTTTCCTGTTGACTTTTTTTATAGCTTGATTAGCTGTATATTCATACCAGAGAGGTGGATGTGGTGAGATGGTACCACATTACACTCACTGCTCTGAAGCCACATCCTGAGTCACTGAACCGACGGTGACGTTTCACACGCCGCCTGCACTTCTTCTACTCTGCCTTCATCCACCGCCTCAGTCGCTGGCGTCACTTCTTCACACTGTGCATCAGGCACTAAGAACACAGGTAGGATTTCTGCTTCATTAATTATAAAAAAAAACACAATGTCTTAAATGTTGGCTGGTTTAACATTTGTTTTTATCTGTTTACAACATTTTGAAGGTTTCACTTTGTGTCATTCTGTATTTTTTGTGATGATGTTAACGACTTTTTGAGTAAAAAGTCGCAGCCTTATTTTTAATAAATTACTTTAGCTCCAAAAAACAAGATCTTTATTTTAAATATATTTTATTTTCTTACAACACGAATCATAAATGTGATTATTTTTTTGTTTCAGCGTCTGGTTTTCCCCGGTGCCTGACAGGGAGTCCCCATGGCTCTCAAGCCTGTCTTCTTACTGTGGGCTCTCACTCTGTGTGTTCGGGACGGTAAGCTGCTTTCATCTGTTCAAAATGTCACGAGCTTTAAGTTTAAGATGTTCTGTAAAATCTAAATAAAAGCACAACTAAATGATGTGAAAGTTATCTGACAAACAGGAAACAGTTTGTTCAAATGAACTAAGATCTAAATTTGGTGATATTACATGTGGAGTTCCACAGGGTTCTGTGCTTGGACCAAAGTTGTTTCTCTTATATGTAGATGATCTGGTTAATGTGTCAGGGTTGTTTAAATGTGTCTTGTTTGCAGATGATACCACATTTTTTTTTTGTTTGGGCAAAGATTTAGAACAGATGTTCAGGATGATTCAAACAGAATTTGTAAAAATGCTAACTTGGTTTAAGTTTAACAAATTATCACTAAATTTGGACAAAACAAACTATATGATATTCAGTAACAGAAAAAGAATGGCCGATGTTTCATTTAAAGCTGATGGTGTGGAGATCTGTAAAGTTAGTGAAGTAAAGTTTTAGGATGTTATTATTGATGAAAACCTGACCTGGAAACCTCATAAATTACTTTAGAACAAAAATAGCTAAATCTATTGCGGWACTACATAAGGAGTTGTTTAATGATAAAGCACTGTTTATATTATATAACGCAATAACAGTTATGAAGATTTATTCTCCTCTGCTGGAGGATTCTGCTCCTGGATCTGAACATAAAATTGTTCTAAAACCTGAAAATACTTCTCTGCCTTAATGGCGTCTTTAAGCTGCCCGTTCCCAAGGCACCAATGCACCCCTATACCAACAGAGAGGAAGGCTTTAAACTGTGTGCTGCTGGCGAGGTGTGGTTTCAGGTTCAGATTTGTCTGATCACAGAACACATCTCTATTATGCCTCGATTTTAAATGATCTTTAGTTCAGATAAGACAGCTGCGCCTGGTTCCTGGTTCAGAACCAGATCTGGTTTTATTGCTGTGGCCCCTGAGGGCCCCGAAGATCACAAACATCTAATATGGATTTCAAATTTGCACAGATTCTTCTGATCTGTTGATCAGATTATGAACTGCAGAAGATGGCAGGTTGAATGTCTTCATATTATTTTTTTCCTGAGGAACATTATTCTGAAATTGTTGCACAGTTTTAAGACAGTTTCTCACAGAAGTCCGGTCCATCTTTACCTTTAATAGACTCTTAATGAACACTTGATTTAAACTATATCCTCTTCTTCAGCTGCTGTCAAACCCAGTTAAATGCTTCTCGTTTATTTACTTTGTTGCCAACTTTTCAAAAATGTATTGCTGCCAACACATTTTAAATAACTATTAAAAGATTACAATTTCCTCATTTTAACGTTTGATATGTTTCCTTTGATTCATCTGGTTTTATTTACCTTTTACACAAAAAAGTTATATTTCTTTCTGAACTGGGCCTGCAGTTTTATTGTTTTTATTCTACATTGTGTCGACAGTCAATAGGAAGTAACACCTCCATGAAGAAGTTGCAACTTTTGCAGGTGACCTTGTTTTTCTCTGTTGCAGCTGCATGTATGTGCAATGTCACCTGCTCTACGAACTACATAAACTCACTAAACTGCTCCTGCTCTGGCTCCATGCCAGCGCTTCCTGTCACTCTTCATGTCACCTGCAGGTAAAACTTGTCTTGTCACTGTTTTTGTGTGTAAAACTGTTTCTTTTACCCTTTAGCTCAGGGCTTTTCAACTAAATCGCTCCAGGGGCAACAGTTACTGCAGACCAACGGCACAGAGGCCAAACATCCAGCAATTAAAGTCATTATGTAAATAAATCAAGTATTACAAAGATCTGTTACCTTTGAAATGGTTTATTTTGCTGCATTTAATCATGGATACAACATACAAAACCCTATGGAATAAATGTTGTGATAATTAAACAATTTCAGAAACAAAAACAACACATTCTGCCTCCTGTTTAACACAAATATTTTGACATCTCTGACTTGCCAACTTTATAAACCAACTTTTTTCCACTTTCATAGTTTTATCTTCAAATGCTTGTAGTTTTAACTGTCTTAGATATTCATAGAAATTGTTTTTACCAACTTGTAGCCAAGATTCTGTAGGTTTCTATAGATGCCAAACATTTATGTCTAACTAAAAAAATAACTCATAATAATAGAAGAAAACCAGGGGTTTGGACTTAAGAGATGAATGAACGGGGGTTAGTTTAATAGCCCTGCTTTAACTTGTCTCAATGATCAGGGTTATTTCAGTTTTTTCTCAAGCAATTTGTCTCTAAAGGAAATGTGATCATTTAAACTCATTTACAGTGTTTTTTTTATTTAATTAACATTTTAATCTAAAACAGGAAGGAAAATATTTATGTAAAGTTGTTATAGAAAACAAGGAGAAAAAAGCCACGGCCGTGCTGGTGTGAAAATATCAATATTCAGTTGATTTGATTTGATTTTGATTTAATTTATTTATTTAAACAGTTTTTGTTTCAAACTTCATGCAGAGCTTTTCCACTCGGTTCAGTAATAAGATGAAGAGCTGAGATGTTTGAACCTCCACAGCTTTAACGAGCTGCGCTGCAATCACACCATTTCTGAGACATTAGCTCCAACACAGCAAAAAGCTTTGTGCTCGCTGCGTGCCATGTGCAGACGCTCCTCCAGCTTCATCCATCGAACGGCAGCTGTGGAAAACATCTGAGCGAACCGCCCAGACGTTAAATGATTAAGTTGTGAACATTTGTTATAAATTAGCTGCTCTGAGAGTCAGAGTCAGGACCCCGCAGTGTGAGTCATCAGACATTAAGTTGGGGTCATGGTTTCTTCAAAACCCATAATTCGATTTGAAAAACAGATTTCTAACCACACGTTTTCACGATTGTTGCAAGATTACAAACAGACGTCATAAACGGATCAATTGGTTCAGCGGTTGTTGTTTTTAGAGATGATTTACGTCTGCAGTAGTTGGGTTTTAAGATTTTTCCTCTTTTATTTTGGAAGCTGAAAAGTTCTGGAGCCTCTGCTGCCTCTCATCAGGACCAAACAGTTTCTAACTTCATTTCTTCATTTTTTTTAGTGTTTGCTTCAGCTGGTTATGTAGAACCTGCTCATTTAGGCATTGTATGATTTATTTTCAGATCCTAAATTAAAATAAAACTCCCTCCAAAAATCTTGGAATAATAATCCAGTTTAATCCAGAATAAAATGTTGTCTAAGATAAAAAAAAAAACCTCCAGTTGAATGATTCAGGCTAATATTTCATTATATGTACTTTTTACAAACACCAAAAAATTAACTTCATTTTGTTTAGTGAGAATGGGTTTCTATCTTTAAAGAATTTCTCTTCAGCAGGCTTATTCTGATAACTTGAGGGTTCTTAACAGTATTTATTCCACCGGTGGGCAAAAACTTTTTGGTTTCTGCCTTTAAGCGTTTCCAGGCACTATATATGGCTTTTATTTTGAAAACTAGGGTGTCAGACCACTTCCTCCGGCTCTTACCTTTTCTTTAACAGCCTTACAAAAAAAATTTAAAAATTAAAGGCTTAAAAATAAATTTCAGAGGCAACTTTTAAGGGGTTAAAACATTAAAATGTATTTATTATTGTTAGCTTGTTCTCAGTTCCTTTAAAAGATGTAAATTCTGTATTTGGTTTAAAGAATTGAGGCTGCAAAATTAGTTTTGATAATAATGTCTGAAAGTTAGAAGAAAAATGTTTCAGAGAGAAAACAACATATAGGAGTATGACTGGGATTATATTTTAATCCAGCCAACATTATTAATGCTGTAAAAACACTGTTCTGAGCTGGGTTTTTGTGTTGAAGTAACGAAGACACAGACGTCAGCGGCAGCTGTGTGCTGGAGCCTCCTCGCTCCTGGTGCATCATCTTCCAGGAGGACCTGTTTGACGTCACCACCGTGGGAACACAATGTTCTGCGCTCAGTCAGAACCAGAGGTCTGCAGAGCCCGCCGGGCCGTTCACATGGGCCCTGGCTGATGTGGGTAGGTTCAACAGCTCTTTCACATTTATCAACGTAGATATAAAAAGATCACAATAAAGAGGTGCCAGGATACGAACCGATGCATTTTTACAGTTAATTTAACACAGTGTTGTATAAAGTACCTGAAAGTGATACTTGAGTAAAAGTACAAGTATCTCATCATAAAAATACTTTGGTAAAAGTTAGTTTTCTCTAAGAATATTTCTTGAGTAAAAGTCTTAAAGTATCTGATATTTTTTGTACTTAAGTATCAAAAGTAAATTTCTGACACAAAATGTACATTGTGCAGCTGTGATGGGTTGTGTACAAGCCATTTGTACTTATCATCTAACCACAATTAAATTCACTCTATCCAGGAGACACAATTTATCAGGATAGTATTTTTAAGTAATAACAACTTGGAATAAATTAGGAGTAACGACTTTCTACTTCTTACCTTTTTAAAAAATGCAGTGAGTAGAAAGTACAGATAATTGTGTAAAAATGTAATGAGTAAAAGTAAAAAGTATGCTGAAAAATAATTGCTCAAGTAAAGTACAGATAACCAAAACTTCTATTTAAGTACAGTAACAAAGTATTTGTACTTAGTTATTCACAACTCTGACTTAACATGAAAATCTAAAAATAAAAGACAAAAACTGTCAGAACACTTCCATCACCTGCTTTAAAAAAGGTGAAACGGACTTTTATTCTGAAGTTGAAGATGCTTTGCTTCCTATCCAGGAGGATTTATGGAGTTTATAGACCTGCAGGAGAGGCCTGGGTGAGCACATCTTCACCTCTCTGTTGTTTGTCTCCTCAGTGAAACCTGAACCTCCTTTTGGAGTGAGAGTGACGAAGACTGCTGAGTCCCTCAACATCACCTGGAGCAGCAACGACAGCAGCTACCCCCTGAAATACAGGGTCCGCGTAAGAACTGCCGCAGACTTCAAGGTAAAACGGACTCTGAGCTTTTTTATTATTAGTGAAGCGTTCCTGCAGAACCCAGATGTTCAGATGTTTTCTGTTGCTTCCAAACAGAATCAGCTGAATTTTTCTACGAATGAGAACAACATTGAGATCAACCCCAAACAGCTGCGGGAAGATGTGGTTTACGTGGTGGACGTTCAGGCCAAACTTCAGGCTGTTTTCCTTCTGGGTCCATGGAGTGAATGGAGTTCTGCTGCTGAGTTTAGGACTGCTGGTACTGAAGGTGAGACGTTATTTAAAAATAACTGTCTGAAGCCTCAGAGTCATCGATGTACTTCACTTCTACTCATTTCTTGTTTTGTTTTTTGTTCTTGTTCCTAGAAATGAATTTTCTGTGGTTGTGTATCTCCATGCCCATCATTGGCGTCCTCCTCGTCCTCTTGGTGCTGGGATACTTACAAAAACCGTGAGTGCTTTCAAATGGTGGTTTTAATCTTTCAGCTCCTCCAGAGTTTCTTACGAGTTTGGTCGTGACATGATTTATTTATTTCTAGTCTCAAATCTATAATCGAGCTTTCACCAACTGTGCAGCTTGAAACCTGTTCAGGAGAGGTGGAAGGTCAGCGTGAGTTCCAGTAAAGCGGCGGCGCGGTGCCTCTGCTGCATCACTCAGCCCTTTCCTGGCATCACCTCCCACATGCAGAGAAACCACAGCGCTCTACGCGCTGCGGGATTTTGCACTTAAATGTCTTGCAGAGCATCAGAGACATGAGAACAGGCGCTCTAGTTGAGCTCAGAGGATGCTCGTCGGTTCTGTCGATGATGCAACACGTCGCATGAGAAAGGCACTTATCACATCTCAGATCTCAGCAGCTTCTTTCACAGCTTTGCAGATTCACATGTTGTTTGTTATGTCCTGGCAGTGAAAGTAGAGTCAAGCTGTTGCTCTGTTCTTTTTAAAGTGGAGGACAAATATGGACTTTTTAGGCTTTCAAATAAAACTTAAAGCTAGGTAGATCTTTTATTTTTTATTCTTTCCTTCCAGCTTAATGACTGATTGGTTCTCTACTATTCTAGTTGAGTTACGTTAATTTTTAAATACCGTATTTATTCAAGTATAATACGTAAAATTTGATCCATAAAATCATCCATAATGTTGGGGGGTTGTATTATACTCAGATAAATATTTTAACTTATGTATTTTAACTGAAATATCAGCAAAATGCCTGAGTCTGGAAATGAGACCGTGTTGTAAAAAGCAGTTGAAACGAGCTCACCTCTGACACTCCTCCGTGCTTCAGAGCGAGATATTAACAGATCCAGCAGGCGACATGATGTGAAAAAAGGGAAAAAGTACTCCTGCAGCTCAGTAATGATAACAAACTAATGACATTAGCGTGTGACCGAGCTGCTCCTCGAACAACAACAAACACATGTTCGTCTGTAATGGCTGCCGTCTACCGGTGTTCTGAAAAAGTTTGTATCCCTGAAAAAAGTTTCCCCACCAGAGGGGGCGCTCACGAGTAGGAAGTAATTTGCTTTTCCCCCACAAGATGGTCCAAATCTCATGTGAAGTCTCAGTCTTTTGTGTTGGCGCCTCCTGGTGGACTATGTGTAAAATGCCAGAATTCATATGATGCTGCTACAGCTGATATATATTTGTTGTCAAAATACATTTTAGTACATATGTTGTTAAAATAAAATGAACAGTCCAATGATCATTTTACTGATATGTATAAAGACTGCAAAGGCTGAAAAATCTTGAAGTCTGTATGAAATTGGAGGTAGTTTGAGGATTAAATTTTTTTGCTTTTTAAGCTCAAAGGGGGTGGGGTCGTATTATACATGAGATCGTATTACACACGAATAAATACGGGAATTGTTTTTAAACAGTAAAGATTTTTTAGTTCCATTCTTTAAAATGCACTCGTTTGTTCTGTTGTTAAAGGTTGAGTGTGAGGTCACTGACTTTGACTCGTAGAATCAAAGCTGTGCAGCCGTGCTGCTGAAACCAGGAAACAAAATAATTCGTTTCATTTTCTTCAGGTGCTGGCAGAAAAAACTCCGGATGATTACGTACATCCCCAGGCCCAGTGAATATTTCAAGCCTCTCTACCTCAACCACGAAGGAAACTTTAAGGTGAGAGAAAGCAAAACTCTGTTTGTAGTTTCCAAAGCTGCCCAGCAGGTGTTGCTCTGTTTACATCACATCTGGAGCCTGCTGGTGCGGGACTTTCCCTTGGCTTTGAACTGAAGGGACTGTGATGTGAGTCAGTGAGCAGGGGCTCAGTGACGCTGTCTGACAAGCTGTGGGCAGATAGTTGTTTCTAAAAGTCAGACCTGTTCTGCCCCTGTGGAAAATACCCCCAAAGCTGTTTCAGCTCTTTGATTTGTGTCACAGTAAAAACAAGCAGTTTTTACCTGACGGGGAAGCAAACTGATAAAGCTGTGGGTTTTTTTTTCTTTCACTAATGTTTCACGTTTATCTTCGTCTTCCATCACCTCGGTTTTTCCCCTAATGTAAATGAACTTTTATTCAGGTGTGCTATTTTTACCCTCAGAGATGTCTCTCTCTCCACCTTTAATCAAAAACAAATTTAAACCCAGATTCAGAATATTACAAAACCAGTAAAAAAATTTAAAATAATTTTATTAACTTAATGGAATATTTATCTAGATCAAAAACATATTTTCATCCACTGCCACTTGTTATAGATATCTTTTTTGTTTTAATCTTATCCTATAAAACCTTAAAGCAAAATGTAAAATAATAAATGTTTTTGTCACTATTGTAACCACAGACATAAAGAGTAGAGTACTGTATATGATACTATATATAATAAAGAGCTTTATATGATATCTATGATTCTAACTGCATCTCATTAGAGAGTTGCACTTACTGTCCAGCAGAGGGCGCCGCTGCAGCAGAGCAGATATTCACAAGCAGAGAAAGCTCCCAGAGAGGAAGTTTATGTAGTTCTTTTTCTGATAAAAATACAAAAACACTTTAGAATTAAAGCTAAAAAATATTGTCATAAGAAATATTTTTAAAAAATGTAGAAATCTGTGTAAAATACATCAAAATAAATTATCAGAATTTCTGAACAAAGTAAATGATCTACGTTTTTATAAGTGGAAATCATGGTTTTGTTCAGTTTGCAGTGCAGTCTTTTCTAGTTTGCAAATATGATCATGAGCTTTTTATTTAAAACAAGTATGAACTAAGGAAATCCAAGCATGGCTTAAATATCCAACTTTAAAATTGTGAATTAATTTTAAGTTGATAAAACACTTTTAACAACCTCAAATAGTCGTGCTGATCCAATCCAAATATAAAACAGTTTAAAAGTTCTCTTTTTTAAAACTCATTCATAAATCTGACAGACTGTAAAGATTTCCTAACGCTTCATTATTTACCTCATCTGTTTATATTTTGTTCAGTGTTGTGAAGGAAGGTCCAGGTTCAGTTTAATGCCAGTGCAACAGATTAGATGACATCATCAAGAAGTGCAAATAAATTATTATTCTTATTGTTTATGTGGCTTTATGCCTGAAGGAAGTTTCATTCAGAAGCTGCAGAAGTCAGTAAGTTTGCCTGCATGTCTCACATGTGGTGCAGACTGTTCGTGTGTGTCTCGTTTTAAAGACTGAGCTGCTCCGATGAGCGTCAGCTCCAGGATGTGGTTGGACTGGTGTCAGGACTTCATCCTTATCTGGTCACCTCGAGCTGCAGACACATGGTACTGCTTTAAATGCATGCTTGGTTTGTAGAAGGTGCAGGCATCAGACGAGCAAGTAACAGACCATTCATCCATCCATCCATCCATCCATCCATCCATCCATCCATCCATCCATCCATCCATCCATCCATCCATCCATCCATACATACATACATACATACATAC